TATTAAGCGAGCTAACTCGAACTCGAGTACTCGACTCAACTCATTAATAAATGAACTGAGCTCGAGATTAACTCGTTTATTAACGAGTCGAGCCCAAATTTGGGTACAACTCGACTTCACTCGACTTATTTGCAATCCTTTACCAACTCGGGACAAAACAGAGACACACAAAACATAGAAACACAAATCCATTGAACTAACAAGCAACCAAATATCCAATTACCAGATTCAAATGACAACCGCAACATCCCAAGCTAAGTAGAGAATGCATGTATGAGTATGATGTATCTGCTCATACCCGACCATGTGCCAGCTGTGAAGGCTAGATTGGGCTGAAAAGATAATTTGTATTAGGTAGGAGAGTTGAGTTAAATACTCTCTCTACAACAGAAAGCAAACCTACGTGGCTATGGACACGGAGCCACTAATTACATGATCAAGGCCACTAATAACAAACACATACAATATAATTATTTTAACATATATCCTTATTACGCCCCCGCAAGATGGTGGCCGGGACGACACCAATCTTGGACCGCAACAGCTGAAAACGAGTGATAGAGAGTGGCTTGGTCAATGAGTCGGCAAGTTGAAGCGCCATAGGTATATGTTGAACACGAAGGGCAGATGACTGAACCAGCTCACGAACGAAGAGATAATCGAGTGCGAGGTGTTTCATGCGCGAATGATGGATGGGATTGGCGGAAAAATTTACCGAACCAAGGTTGTCACAGTAGAGAGTAGGTGGCGATGATAGAGGATGATGAAGTTCCGTGAGAAGCTGCTGAATCCAAATGATCTCGGACGCGACATGAGCTAGAGCCCGATATTCGGCTTCCGTACTGGATCGAGCCACAGAGCGTTGCTTCTTGGATTTCCACGAGATAAGATTGCCCCCATAATAGATGAGATAGGCCATGGTGGACGTGCGATCATTGGGATCGCCAGCCCAGTCAGAATCGGCAAAGGCAACCAGGGATGGCGCCGGAGCAGAGTCGAGACGGAGACTAAGAGTGGCCGAGCCTTTGAGATATCAGAGGAGGCGTTTGACGTGCTGCCAATGAAGCTGAGTCGGGGCATGCATGAACTGAGAGAGTTTATTAACGGCAAAGGCAATGTCAGGGCGAGTGCATAACAAATATTGCAGCGAACCAATAACCTGCTTGTATAAGGTCACATCGGCTAGGGGGAGCCATCATCGAGAAGCAGCCTGGCAGTAGAGGAAAATGGAGTTGGGGTCGAATGTGAATCAGCCATGCCAAACCATTGCAATACGTCCCAAATATATTTATGTTGTGAGAGCAAAAAACCAGAGGCAGTGGGAACGACCTCGATACTCAGAAAGTAGCCGACGTTGCCAAGGCTCTTGAGAGAAAACCGAGTGGCTAGACGAGCCTGAAAATGAGCCATACTACAGAGTCCGCATTACGGTCCAAGTGAAATTGGGGTATTTCTTTCTTTACATAAAGCTAAACAAGCTACAATCTAGCAAGTCTAATCACCAACTCTAACCACTAATATATTAGCTACCTCTTAATGCTACCAAGTAATCCCCATCTCCCCACAATCCTCGTCATAATCCCAATTCCCACCCCTAATTCTCTTCTTCCTCCTCACTATCCCCTTCCTCTTCCTCTTCCTCTGCCTCCTCACTATCGCATTCCTTCTTTTCTTCTTCCTCTTCCTCGTCCTTGTTTTCTTCTTCCTCATTATCTTCATCATCATCACTGCTAATGCGAAAGAAGTACAAGGGATCCTCTGTTAGTTTATAATAATACATGTACCATTATGTAAATTCCCATAGCCGATTAGTTTAGGGTTTCTGGAGAAACCTATATATGTGCCTTGTACACTTGATGAAAAGGTAACGAAATAAGATCATAAAACCTGAGAGGGAGATCCTCTCCGTGGACTAGGGTCATATTGACGATACCACGTTAAAAAACCTCGGTGTTCTTGCTTGTTCTTTTGATTATTTGACATGGTATCAGAGCCTGCGATCTGCGATCTGTTGATCGTATTTCGCTGGTAATTGTCTGGTACTCATCGGCGCTGCTAGGGTTCTTCTTTTGGCATCATCATCAGGTGGATTATTCTTTTGTTTTGGCATCATCATCACGTGAAGCACTTGCCCAGGGTTCCGTGAAGAACTTGCCCAGGGGTTCATTCTTTTATCACGTAACCAAACAAATCAGGCAGCTCATTCTTTTGGAGTCTTTATCAAGTTTTTTTCTTCGCCGTATTTGTCCGCTGTCGTGTTTCCCTTGGCTGCTGCTCGGTTTCTTCTCTTCGCATCAGCCTGTCTCCTTCGTACTTCTTTGCGGCGGCTCCGTTTGCTAGTCTTGTTTTCCCGAGTTACATCAGGTTGTCTCCTCTGTTACTCCTTTGCGCGCTACAACAGGTTGGTCACTCTTAGTACACCTCTGCTTGCTGTTTATTTCTTCCTTGATCCCAGCAAGATGGAAGGGTTTTCGGTCAAGTTCGACGGGAAGAATTTCCCACTATGGGAATTCCAGTTTCGGAATTTCGTGGAAGGGCGGAGGTTGCTTCCGATTTTGAATGGGCAGTGGCCTCGTCCTGCGGCCGGCTCTGCGGCTAAGGATATTGAAGACTGGGACGCAGGGAACGCTCAGATTGTGACCTGGCTTTTGGGTTGTGTGGATATGGCTACAGGTCTTAGTCTTCGTCGGTTTACCGATGCTTGTGATATGTGGAAGCACATTTGTTCTACATATACTCAGAATGATGCATCTCGTCAATTTGAGCTTGAAACTCAAATTGCGATGATTAAGTAGGGTGATATGGATGTACGTTCGTACTATCAGGAACTTTCTACTCTCTGGACTGAATATGATCTCCTGACTGCGTCTCTTGTTTCTACTGTGGCCTCTGCGGACATGTTGAAGGAACGGGCACGTTCCCGTCTCATGCAGTTTCTCATGAAGCTCCGTCCTGACTTCGAGCCGATTCGTGTTTCCTTGTTGCACCGACAGGTTGGTACCATTAATGAGGCTCTTGCTGAGCTCATTCGTGAGGAGACGCGCCTCCGTAGCCAGCATCAGATCGATCAACTTTCTTCCTCTGGTGAGTCGGCCTTTGCAGTTGGTCGAGGTGGTTCGGGGCGTCCTCAATTTCAGTCGGGGGACACCAGTCAGCTCACATGCCATTTTTGTCATGAACTTGGTCATATCCAGCCTCACTGCAAGAAACGTAACATTTGCATTTACTGCAAATGCTCTGGGCATATTATCTTGGAATGTAAGTCATTGGCTCGACGTAATCGTTCTGGCGGGTCGTCCTCCGGTCAGCCTCGCTCTGCAGGGCCAGCCGATCGCCGTTCAGGGCCTGGCTATGCCGTCGAGGCTGTTGCATCTCGATCCACTAGGGCTGCAGGTGGCTCGGGCTCTACTGCTTCCCCACCACTGACTGCCGAGGTCGTGCGACGTCTGGTTGCCGATGTTCTCCAGGAAACTCTCCCCACTGCTCTCGCTTCTGCTTTTTCCACAGGCGGTGTCTCAGGTAAATCGCGTTGGTTGCTTGACTCTGCAGCATTTAATCACATGACAAATGCTCGTTCTAGTTTTGCTTCTTTGAAACCTTCACCTGTTGTCTCTTTACAAGTTGCTAATGGTGCCCGTATTCCTGTGCATGGTATTGGTACGACCACGTCTGGTCGTGTGAGCTTGGATAATACTCTCTATGTTCCTGAGCTGGTTCCAAATTTGGTTTCGGTTGGGCAGTTGACTGAAGATGGCTGCGAGGTTCAGTTTGACAGTTCAGGCTGTGTTGTGCAGGATCCGAAAACAGGGAGGGTGATCGGGAAGGGTAAGAAGACGGGTCGTGTTTTCGTTCTGGATAGTCATGGTGCATTGGAGGCTTCGGAGACGCACCCGCCACCTAGGATGGAGACAACGTTGATGATGCTGCTTGTTTTTTTAAGTCTAGTAGTGGTTCGACTACTTCTACTACTACGTCGGATTCTATTTTTGCTGTAAAGCCTACGGGCTCTTTGGATTTTCGGAAGAAGAATACTCTCTGGAATTTGTGGCATTGCCGTCTTGGGCATCCCCACAAGGCTCGTTTATTGGATATGTTTCATCGACGTTTGCTTCTCGATCGTTTAGTTTCTACTGCTGATATGACTGATGCTTGTATTAGTTGCATTGAAGCTAAAACTTCCCAGTCACCCTTCTCACACAGCGAGACTATCTATGCCGAGCCCTTTGATCTTGTTCACACTGACTTATGGGGTCCATCACCTGTCGTATCTCGCATGGGTTTTCGCTATTTTGCTCTATTTATCGATCATAAGACGCGATTCGCTTGGATCTATTTTCTGCGTCGGAAGTCAGAACTGATCACTCATGCCAAGCACTTTGTTCAGATGGTTCTCACTCAGTTTGGTAAGACAGTCAAGGCACTTCGGTCAGATCCTGGTGGCGAATTCAGCTCGACACCATTGCTTGATTTTTATAAGGAACACGGTATCCTGCCTCAGCAATCTTGTCCATGAGTCTCCCAACAGAACGGGCTTGTTGAACGCAAACATCGCCACATTATGGAATTGACACGAGCGTTGTTATTTCATTCTCACATTCCGCGTTCCTTTTGGGTCGAAGCTGTGAGTACCGTTGTTTACTTGATTAATCGACAAATTACTCCGGTTCTTGATCACAAGTCTCCGTATCAGCAGCTCTATGGTAATGATCCTGATTATACTCGACTCCGGGTATTCGGTTGTCTCTGTTTTGTTCTTCTCCCGAAGAAATCACGGGACAAGCTGTCTCCAAAAACAGCTCGGTGCGCTTTCATTGGTTACAGTAGCCAACATAAGGGCTACTTATGTTATGATCCGATAGCTCGTCGTATGCATATCTCGTGTCATGTTGTGTTCCTTGAACAAGTTATGTACTACCCAATGAATTCACATAAAGATGCTGCCGATTTAGATTTTCTACGAGTACTCCCTGAGTTCGAGGCTTCTCCTCCGCCACCTAGCAATGATTTTCAAGGAGGGAATATCTTGGAAAATCATTCTTTCAATTCATCGGGTCCTTCGGCATCAAGTGGTTCGTCCAACAGTAGCAGTAGCTCTTCAGGTTCTGGGGATTCGTCCTCAAGTGATCATAGCAGTAATTCATCCACACCTGGCCCTTCAGTACACACTGCAGGGTCTGCTGATACCAGAGCTTCAGCATCTTCACAATCCGCTGCCACGATGGCGGACTTCTCACCTGCTCGCACTAGCTCCTCGTCGCCAGCAAGCTCTCCTTCCGCAGTTGACCGTTCGAGCATGGGTTCTCAACATGAGCTGGGACTTGAACTTGGCACACCGCCTCCCCTGCCACAGCCAAGACGGTCTAATCGAACAACGTTGGGACAGCCGCCTAAGCATTTAGAAGATTATGACGTTGGCTTCTCGACAGAACCGATCCTGATCCCTAGTCACTATCGTTATGCTCAAGGAAATATTTTTTGGGACACGGCAATGAAAGAAGAGCTGAATGCTCTAGAAGAAAATAATACATGGGATCTGGTTCCACGCGTTCCAGGTATGTCAGTAATCGGTTGTCGCTGGGTGTATACGGTCAAGATGAAACCAGATGGTACTTTGGATAGGTACAAGGCGAGATTGGTAGCACAAGGTTTTAGACAGGAACATGGGATAGACTACGATGAGACTTTTGCCCCAGTAGTCAAGATGCAAACTGTTCGAAGTGTGTTAGCTGTGGCAGCAATGAAGAAATGGAAGATTGTTCAGTTTGACGTTAAGAACGCTTTCCTTCATGGAGACTTGAAGGAAACAATATATATGGAGTGTCCAGATGGGTATACAGAAGGAGGACCCGGGATGGTTTGTAAGCTACGACGTTCTCTATATGGTTTAAAGCAGGCACCGCGAGCTTGGTTCGAGAAGTTTCATAGTACCATAATTCAAGCTGGATTTGTGCAAAGTCAGAATGATCCCTCGATGTTCACCCGTCAGACCGTCCATGGTAACACAGTTCTTCTTTTGTATGTTGATGATATGATTGTGACAGGCAGTGACACGGAAGGTATTCAGGAATTGACTCAGTCATTACGAGCAGCCTTCAATCTCAAGGAACTAGGTGAAGCGTCCTACTTCCTGGGATTAGAGATACAAAGAAATGAAGCAGGATTATTCTTGAATCAACGAAAGTACATTAATGACTTATTGGAGGCGGCACAGTACATGGACTGCAGGCCAAGTTCGACACCCATGGAGCAGAATGTCAAGTTGAGCCGTGGAAAAGGAGTTTTATTGGAGGATCAGACCTTCTATCGTAGCGTAGTAGGCAGCTTGATTTATCTTACACATACTCGACCAGATATTGCTTATGCGGTTCAAGTAGTAAGTCAATTCATGGGAGTTGCGTGCACAACACACTTGGATGCAGTACATCGGTTACTGAGGTATTTGCAGCAAACCAAAGATGTAGGGTTGTTCTTTCCAGCTGATGGTGATTCGAATATAGAAGCGTTTGCAGATGCAGATTACGCTGGTTGCTTGGATACCAGGAGATCCACATCAGGCTGGTGTATCAAGATAGGGAGGTCCTTTGTGTCGTGGAGATGCCGAAAGCAGGACAAAGTTTCGAAGTCATCTACAGAGGCAGAATACAGGTCAATGTCAGAAGTCAGTTCCGAGATGGTTTGGCTTCAAAGACTTTTTCGAGAATTGGGAGTTGAGTGTCAACTACCTATGAGGATCTATGGGGAAAATACTAGCGCTATACAGATTGCAGTTAATCCGGTGCTGCATGATCGGACTAAACACATAGAGGTACATGTTCATTATATTAGACAACTTGTTGCAGAGGGAGTGGTCCAGCTTAGCTACTTATCTACAGAAGATCAGACTGCAGATTTGCTGACGAAAGCAGTAGGATCGAGCAGACACAAGTATCTATCAGCCAAATTGATGTTGAGGACCCAACATCAATTTGAGGGAGGGTGTTAGTTTATAATAATACATGTACCATTATGTAAATTCCCATAGCCGATTAGTTTAGGGTTTCTGGAGAAACCTACATATGTGCCTTGTACACTTGATGAAAAGGTAACGAAATAAGATCATAAAACCTGAGAGGGAGATCCTCTCCGTGGACTAGGGTCATATTGATGATACCACGTTAAAAAACCTCGGTGTTCTTGCTTATTCTTTTGATTATTTGACATCCTCTTCTTCCGTACTAGCTGGATTGGGTCCAAGATCAACTTCAACGCCATCATGATCGCCTTCCTCATTATCACCATCGCCCACTTTGTCCCATCCCAGACCTTCATCTTGATCGCCGACTTTGTCCCATCCGTGCCCTTCATCAATGTGGCTTTGTAAGGAAAGTACATCGGCATACCGTCTGTGGCAATGTAAGCAAATGACGATTCCCTCCATATATAGCGAAAAAGGAAGAGGGAAACAGAGAGGAACGAAGTCTTGAAAAAGATTGAAAAACAAAGGATGGATGAGATTCAGGGTGAAAGAATAAGAAAGGAAGCTGAAGTGATAGAGGAACGCTTCTAGCTTTCTTCTCTGTAGGTTATAAAGGAGTCCTCTGACTCTGACCCAGAAACAATATATTTGTAAGGACTGAGTAAGAGGACACAGAACCTCGAAATAATTATGCTCTGTTTTCTTTTTCCGTTCCAGGGGACATTATGTTATGCTCTCTGTTTTCCCCTTGTTTTGGCAGAGTAGATGCAGAGTACTGATTTCTCCTGCCAGAACGTCCCTTTATCTAAGATCCGCACACAAATCTCATGATGAGTAGAGGGCTGGAAGCAGAAGACAGTACTGGTAGTACTCGTCACTCTAAAGTCTTAAGCATTTACTACTTACTCATCCATTGCTTTAACAGTTAGTAGGTTCGTATTTTAAAGTTGCATATAACCAATGTATATTATTTTTAAATGCATTAATTGTCAATATATAGTGTAGCTTAAACTAAAAGTAAAACACACACGCATTAGCTAAATACAATATATAGAATTTCAACTTTCAAACAACTCCTAATAGTTACAAATCCTTCTAATTGTTCATTAACATCAAACATCGCCATAATTATTATCGGGAAAGAAGCCAGGACCTTAGCGAGTACATAAATATAAACACCAATAGACCCTAACTGCAGGACGATCTACTTAATTCATGTTCCTAAACTAGCTTAACGTCTCAATTCGTTACAATAAAATAACCGACGATCGAGAATCCAATCTATCTATACCTATTAAACTTGCTACAAAATTATTATCTAGACATGCTTTCCACATCTCTCTCTCTCCACGACTTTGCTTTCTTGCACTGCTTCATCTAGGCATCTCACTCGCTAGTTTTACCCAAAACTAGAAGATACAAGATCGAGTAGAGGGCACATCTCATTATATATACCATAGTGGAGGACAAGACTTGGAAATAGACTTTTCCCCGATGTAAGTGTAGTAAGACGTAATTGTCGCATCCGACAAATCGAAAACACCCACATCGTGACCTCCTCCAGCCGGTGGAAAGAACTCTGAATTGTCGTCCGTAAAATAGATGCAGTTGGGTCTCAACATTCCTCTTCCAGCGACCAGCGACACAGACGAGCTCGAACATTGACCTACAAACAAGGCCTCATCTTCCCTCAGGTTGTGCACCCTCTCACACACGTAACGATTTCTTACACGTCCTTCTTCTTCTTCCTCCTCCTCCACCACCACCAATTTTCTCACCACAAATCCTACAGTCACGTAGTGGTCTTCGTCGTCGTCGAAATCGTCAAGCCCTGAACAATAGTATTTGCCTCCGTAAATACGCTCAACGATCAAAATGTCTCCTGATATGGAGCTCACCAGATAACTTCTAGCAAACGGGTTATTGACCACCTCATACTCATACACTACCTTCCCTTCCTGGCTCAACGCACCATCTTTCGCTTCGTAATTCTCGATGTGGTAAATTTTCCCGATCCAATTTGTTGCATAGACATTCCCCTTGTGATAAACAATGTCGGAGTATATACTCATCGTCGGGTCGACCTCGGTCCACTCCTCCGCCGCCGTCTCGAAATCGGCCAATTTACAGGACCATACCCCAGAGTACCAACCAACAAGTGCAACCACGACGCAATTAGGGTTGATGCGGCCGTCGATCCAAGGGGAGCCCGTCACCACGGCCTTTCGTATGGGATAGTGTTGAGGGTAACGCGGGATGCTGTAATGAATGTTGTAGCCCTTACGATTGGATTGGCATCTGGATAGAGAAGGAAGCTCGATTTTGAGTCCGGTAAACGGGCGTACCAGAGTCGCAACCGAACCGGGAATCCACGTTAGCAACCAACCGTGCGACATGCCCAAACTTGACCTTCCCGTTATCGCCTCAGCGGCGGCCAACTCAGGCGAGTAGGTTCGACCGTCTAACAAGCTGAAAAAGAATACCCGGCCGCCGCCGCCACTATCATTCTTCGAATTTTCCTTCTTCTGATCGTTATCATTGTGGTTATTATCATTATTATTTTCCTCCTTTTCGCCCTCCGGCTCGTGTGAGAAGATAATAATCGGGAACCCGAGCGGCGGCGGCGATTCGACAATTGGAGACATAGCAGAGTGCATTGAAATCAGAGCTGTAGCATGGGAATGTGCAGGGGATTGCATTGCTTAGTTATATAATAATGGGTAAGGGTTTGGTTATTAACTAAGTAGCCAATTCCATTTCGGATTGGGAGCCGTACCAAATAATGAAACAATTTATTTCTTCCTTATTAGTTGGAGGGAATAACAAGGAATGGTACGGTTTCTTCCCATGTGCTTATGGGAGACTCCATGGTCGCGGCGGATTCAGGATATTGGAAAATTTTGGACCACATTTGAAAAAAGTATAGAAGATTGGGCAATTGTGAAGAGGAAGCTCAGAATTGGCAGCTGAGACCTATGTTTCTTATATACTCGAGTAAGGAGCTTAGCGGAAACAGAACACGTGTCCACATATTACTGGCCATTTAGCAAACTAGACCATGTTTTGCTAACCGCTAATAAGCATAAATAGAGCGACAACGTTTTGAACTTAGCCTAACAAAACATGAAACGAAACGTCTGATAACCGAAACTCCAGGTTTCTTCTTCTTCTCTGCTAAATTTATTTACTTTTCGCTCAACTCACATATGACCGCACATTTTCGCCACCTCATCACATTATTCTTGCAAATACTTTTTTTACAATTTTATATGTGGTAATATTTTTTATTTTTTACAATAATTATGTTAATCACCCAAAAAATTAGGGGTAGGTTAAATTGACATTGATGATTTATTACATGGAACTTTGAAGGGGGGAGAGGCTATTAGCCGCTTGGGAAAAAGTAGGACATTTATAAACTAAAAAGAGTCTGGGTCTCTTGTGTGTGGGAGTGGGTAAAGGGGTAGTCTTTCTGACAAATTCTCATTTCTCAACCAACTTAAAGAGAGAAGATATGGAAGTACACCCCGTAATGATTGCTAGCACTAAATAACAACTATTGTCTTGTTTTTTTTTCCACATAACATTGTTTCTTTTATTTATATTTGTTTGGGTAGCTAAAACTTCCTCTATTGTCAGATAAAATTGACAGTCTGCCAGAGTTACCAGTTGACTTAAACTCCACTACACAGTTCTTCTATCGCTTCAACTACCATAATAAGGGTGCAAAAAAACCCCGTAAAAGAGCCATAACATCATAAGTTTGAGTTCTCTGCTATCACAGAAGAAACCACAGAGGTTTAGAAATTAGAATTGGCTGCTGAATCTACAGTCCACCAAGGAACGAGGTTACAAAGTGCTCCTCCGCAGATAACTCAAACTTGGAAGCTTAGTAAGTTGTCCCATGAAGCAGTACCCCATCACCACTATTTAGTACTTAACAGCAAATCTCAAGAGAAGGCCAATCATAAACCATGACAACTCAAACAATCCATAACCACCCAAATGCGATCATAGACAAATCCCAAACTATAAGCTTAAGACTATTAATAACTAATCCCTACTGAAAGAGGCAGAGAGAGGAGACCATTGCATTTCCTCCTTCCTTACACTAGCCATCTTAGTGCAGTTAAGTACATCTTCCGCTACTTGAAAGGTACACCCACTCTAGGACTATAGTACCCTATAGAAACAAATTCTGATCTTATGGAGTTCAGTGATTCAGGCTTTGCCGGCTGTAGAATGAATAGGAAAAGTACCTCTGGGACTTGCCAATTTTATGGTTGCTCCTTAATTTCTTGGTTCAGTAAGAAACAAAACTTTGTAGCACTCTCCACCACCGCAGCTGAGTATATTGCCGCAGGAAGTTGTTGTCAACAACCTCTATGGTTAAAGACTCAACTAGCAAACTATGGGATTCTGATTCCTACCGTTCATATTTGTTATTTTTCCAATTTGTGTCTTCCTATTTGTGTTATGTTTCCTCTTTGTTTGGCTTAGAACCCAACCTGCAATAATTAATAAAAATATGCGTAAGTAAATATCTTAAAATACACATAAAAAATAAAACAACTACGCGAGAAATCACCCTCCATCGTGACTATTCTCGAAGACTCCGTTGTTTCCCCTTTCCTTTTCTTCTTCGCTCCTAATTTTCAATCAGATCATCTTCACCGATCTTGTATCTCTTCTTACTAAAAATCTCAGTTTTTCTTCTTACTACCTTCCTTTCCAATAATCAGTTATGATCTTCACAGTCTGTCCCACGAAATCACGGGTGTTCTTCTATATATTATGCTCCCTTTCTCCGACATAATCCTCACTGCAATTCCACCGCATAACCTTCGCCCTTCATCTTTTTCCTGACTGCATATCTCACCACAACCATGTGCTTTGCTTCTGACGACTCGTTTGTCATGACCAATGCTCTCTTCCGCCGCCAGCAAAAGATTCGTTCCTACACCGGTGCGATGCATCACCAACCCGTTCGCCAGAACCATCATCGTCATGTTCAAATCTTTGCTGAGAAGCACATCCTGCCGATTAACACTCTGGATCCCTATACCTTCGCCTTCATTGATTCTGTGGACCCAATTCCCCTCGTCAACAATCTTGGGTGGCTTCCAATGGGGGATTCCCCACCTCGCATCTACTGTCCGGCGGCAGTTCGGGAGTTCTTCTCCAATCATCGAACAAATGGACTGGCGACGGGGAAGTTCACCACTCTGGTTTTCGGTAATATTCTCACTTTCTCTATCGATGATCTTGCTCCATTTCTGGTCCTGCCAAGTCTCGGCAAGAAACTTATGAGTCCATTGGAATTCTGGTCCTACAAGTTTTATCTGCACAAGGAAGCCATGAATCGTCCCTTTGCAGAGTTGGATGATTCTCTCAAGCTCCTCCACTACTACATCAATCGGGTGTATTTTCCACGGACAGAGTCTTTGAATGTCATTCTTCCCCATGACTGCTGGCAATGCAGTCAAAAGCGCGATTCTACCTAGAATCGTAAAATCGTAAGTTTTGAAGTGTTAAAGCGTAGACTTTGACTACATTTATAAGGGAAAGCACGATTCTACGTAGAAGCGTTTTGGCGACTTAGAAATGTAAAATCGTACAATTTTAAGTTTAAAAGGCGATTTGACTGCATTGACTACCCGATAATGTCGCATGTTGTCTCGGATACATCACTCAGTTATCCACATATGTTGGTTGGTGTTATCGTTGATGTTATTGCAAATGAGTCTCCCACGGCAGCAGGTCTGCTTTTTGTCTGCTTGATTACTCAGTTGCTTCAGCGTGTGGGAGTTTCTCAGACTGACTTTACCTTTGTCACCACTGACTTTGTTAACGCCTCCCTCGACGACGTTCTCGGGGCTGTGGGACTACCCCCTTCCATTGATTTAACATCAGGGGGAGAAGCCACGGACGACGCAACTATTGGAGAGGGGAGTGTTGAAGGTGGGGCGTCCGTGGGAGTTGCTGCATCTGCATCGACTTTCACTCGTCCTTTCAAGCTCAAACGCCAGGCCAAAGGACCTCGCCCTTCTAACAAGGCCCTTAAGCGCCTCAAAGAACAGAATGCATCTAAGGTAGTGGTTTTTTTATGAAAACCATGATCTTAATCAAAACAATTAAGAGTAGTAGCTTAGGGGGATTTGCTAGAGAAAATGAAATAATTCAAAGTGATTGCTTTCCCTCCAATAAGTTACCACATCAAGCGAAGAGTGTATCAAGTCCAGAAGATATTTGCCACATAAAGGACTACAAATGAAAGGAAATGAAGTCTTGCATTTACTATAAATAGGAGAGTCATTTGTAGACTAGAGTACCTTTTGCAAAGTTCTGTCAAACTACATCATATGATGAAGAAGATCATATGTACACATCTTGTCCTTTATAACCGCCCCTTAGCCCAGCGGTTTGCATAGAAAACCGTGCCCCCGCCCAGCGGTTTTCGTGTAAACCGCAGGGTGGGGTGGCGGTTTTTGAAAAAGGGTGGTATTTTTGGAATTTTTTGGAGTTGGGTGGTATTTTTCGAATTCTTTTTTTAACCAGTGATATTTCTGGAAAAATTCCATAAAAAACACCCAAATCATGAGCTCCTCCAAGACTCGGAAAAAACTCAAAATAATCGTCTGTAAAGTAAATACAGTTGGGCTTCAATGGCGGGAGGTCCATGGATGGTGGGCGATCATTACTTGACTGTGCACCCCCATTGCTCTCTTGGCTACCAATACCTTCGTGTCGGCCAACGACACGGATGAGCTGGAGCACTGACCTATAAACAATGCTTCATCTCTCCTCAACTCGTGGACCCTCTCACACCTGTAACAATGCAGCACTCGTCCCTCCTCCTCTCCCTCCTCCTCCACCACCACCAATTTTCTCACGACGAATCCAACCGTCACGTACCTGTTTTCGTCGTTGGAATCCTCACAGTCCTCACACGCCCGACAGTAGTACTCGCCTCCATAGCTTCGCTCAACAATCAAAAGATCTCCCCGATATCGAGCTCACCAGATAACTTCTTAGCCCATCTATTATGGCATCCCTCATACAACATCTTCCCTTTTTGACCAAATCCATCATCACCATCTCTAGCACCGTAATTGTCAATGTGGTAAATTCTCCCAATCCAACTCGTAGCATAGACATTCCCCTTGTGACAAGCAATGTCGGCGTATGCAAACCTCGTCGGATCCACCTCTTTCCAGAGGTACCTTCACCTTCTCCATCTTGTTCCCATCACCGTCGACGACGAGATCTGCCAATTTACAGGACCACAAAGCAGAGTTCCAACCCACAAGTGCCACCACCACAACACAATTAGGATTAACGCAGCCGTCGATCCAAGGAGAGCCAGTGACCACAGCCTTTGCTATGAAACGGTCTTCAGGGGAAACAGAGTCGTTGTCATCAATACATCTGGATAGAGGGGGAAGGTCGATTTTGAATCCGGTAAACGGGTGAATCAGATTCGCATCCGAACCCGGAATCCACGTCAGCAACCAACCGTCCGACAAGCCGATCCATGACCTTCCCGTCATCGCCTCCGCCGCCGACTCAAGCGGGTGAGTTGAGTTCGGCCGTCTAACATGCTGAGAAACGATGCACGGCCGCCGAAACCACAATCGTTCTTCCTCTTCTTATCATTGTAATTGTTGTTTTCCTCCGGCTGGTGTCCGAAGATGAGAATCGGTAACCCGAGCGGCAGCGGCGATTTGACAATTGGGGACAGAGCAGAGTGCCATGGCCTGCAACGGCGCCGCATACGCAAAGATCCCTGAGGTTAAAAGAAAAAAAAAAGGGGACCCTTATGGATAGGGGGATTGAACCCTACGTGAATCGAACACGCAACCTTCTGATCTGGAGTCAGACGCGCTACCATTGCGCCAAGGATCCTGGGGGTGATCAATTAAGTGTTGGCCATTACTTATTCGTTGGGCGTTTTGCTTATATAAACGAAGCTTCCACCTCATTTCACTTGGATCCCAAACAGCTATTTCTTTGCAGCCCCTTGAAGCTCTACATCAAGATTGAAATTGAGACTTACTACTGGGCTAATGTTTTCTTTTAAACTTTCTTTTTCATATTTTCCTGTTCTACCGCATTTGCTTACGACTATCATTCTATTGATACATATTTAGTAATACTGCAATAAAATTCACTCATTCAGGGCTCAAACAACCACCCATATTTCACATCGACGAGATAACTCCCTCAAAGGAACAATGTCCAAACTTACCAAAACTACAATATCCCATAAATATGTATATATAGTTTGTTACTACATCTCTAGTTATGTATGGGCGGTGTTTCGCTAGGTGGGTTATAATCTATCTCTACTTCCTGATGCTGCTGCTGCTGTTGTCGTCCTTCCTCATCGTTGTGGGAATCATCTATGAGTTCGACATTGGGATTACTGGACTTCTCTGACTATGGCGTCGATGTCAATGCTCGCCTTGTATTTGATAACCCCTCCTACGCAACAGTTACAAACGCACAACCTGTTATAATTAACTAAATACTATAATGGACGTGACCCAAAGTCCACGTCCCGGGAAAAGTCAGCAGCAACAACGCGAGCTACAACCCATCTCCGCTAAAGCCCATGTTGAGAATAATGATAGTGGTTCAATTGTTATAGGAAGCATTACAGTTCCTTGTTGTAAAAGGAATCTTCCTTATTCCTCCCATACCCTAGTTGCACGTACAAGAGGGTATAAATATGATGTAAGGCCACTGGCCGAAACACACAATTGAAATAAGAGAGACTCCGGAGAGTTGAGCTCTCCCGTGGACTAGTCCCGATACTCGGGGATACCACGTAAAATCGTGTGTCGTTCTTATTCCGCAAACCGTTCATACAAATCTATTATGGTATCAGAGCATTGATCCAACACTTGATTACTCAAGATGACTGGGAAGGAATCAGATTCCTCGGGAACGCCTGAATCCAAGCTTTCTGGCGGCAGTGGCGATGGTGGCCAAGGTAATAGGGATTTCGACATCACAAACCCTCTTTTCATACACCAGAGTGACAGCACGGGACATCTTCACGTAAGCAGCCTATTAACATCGTCAAATTACGGCGAATGGGCCCTGGAGATGACGGATGCCCTAGTCACAAAGAATAATATTGGTTTCGTCGATGGCTCTATTCCCCGACCAGAAGCAGGATCGGTCGAATCGCTTGCCTGGATGCGATGTGACGCACTCGTCAAGGGATGGCTACGAACCGCCATGGATGCGGAATTACGCAGCAGTGTAATGCATGCTAAAACGGCTCAGGAAATATGGGAGGACCTGCGTGATCGTTTCAGCAAAGGTAATTTAACACGAGCTTATGAGCTACGTCGTAATATTTGCCTGTTGCAGCAAGAAAAGCAATCGGTTTCAAGCTTTTATACTAAGCTGCGCAAAAATTGGGAAGAGACGCAGTCCATCCTTCCGCCGCCAGTATGCGCATGTGGCCGAAGGAGTCGGGATCAAAATGAAAGCCTGCGATTGCTAGACTTCTTGCTCGGACTGGACGAATCTTATGCTACTGTACGTAGTCAGATTCTATCTATGGCGGTTACTCCTTCTCTCCCTGAAGCTTTCCGCATTGTATTTAATGATGAGCAGCAAAGACAAATCACCCAAAATCGGAAGCCTGTCCCAGAGGCCGCTGCTTTCGCTGCACATGAAGATTCTGGAAAAGCAAGTGCTGAAACGCGCAGCTCACGAGGGCGAGCGTCCGGCGACAGGGAACGAGTCACATGTACTCATTGTCACAAGTCTGGCCATCTTAAAGAGAGCTGCTATGAGCTTATTGGGTGGCCCTCTCGAGATAAATCGGGGGAGAAGTCTGATCGCCGCCGTAATCGTGACACTCGCGATCAAGGGAAGGGTCGAGGTCAGAGTCGTGAGCCCCGGGCCTCGCAAGCTGAATCTGAAACGAGTGCAACCTCTGGTTTTACTCCTCAACAATTGAGTCAACTGAAGCAGTTCTTTGGTAGCTTGGCTCAAGGAGTTGTCGATCCTTCTAGTCACGTGGCGGGTACGTATTCCTTTTCTAATGAACCCGAATGGCTGATTGATTCCGGCTGCAATGAACACATAGTCATGAATGATTCTCTATTATTCGCATACAATGATAATGTACCCTGTCAGCCAGTTCGGATACCAAACGGAGCCAGCATTCCTGTGAAACGTATAGGATCTGTTCGGCTCAGTACTGACAGAACTCTTAGTCGGGTTCTACATGTTCCGGAGTTCAGCTGTAATTTACTCTCTGTCAGTCGGCTCTGCCAAGAACATCACGTGGCATTGATATTTCTTGGTGATTTCTGCGTTATACAGGACTTACACTCCAAAAACGTGATTGGGAAGGAGGAGATCCGTGATGGTTTATATTTCCTAAAGTTGTTTGGATGTCGAGCGCGCGCCAACGCTGTGGTTAACGGGCAGGGAGCGCTTTGGCATGCGCGGTTGGGTCACTCTTCGGCAGGAGTTTTGGAAAAATTGAGTTTGAGTCTTTCTTTTCCAGTCGAGTCGGCAGTTGATTTATGTCATTCGTGTTCACGGGCTAAACAAACTAGAACGCCTTTTCCTATTAGCGGGATTCGCACTAGTTCTTGTTTTGAGATGTTGCATATGGATATCTGGGGAGGTTATCACACTCCGTCATACAGTGGTGCTCATTACTTCTTAACTATAGTCGATGATTTTAGTCGAGGTGTCTGGATATATCTACTTCGTTTTAAATCGGAGGTTGGTCGTTACATACAGTTATTCTGTAACCTTGTTCGCACTCAATTTGGTAAGCAGGTGAAGAAGATTCAGGCTGACAATGGTCCGGAATTTGCAACCAACGTATTGTGTGAATTCTATGAGAATGAAGGGATTCTTTTGCAGACTTCATGTACTGACACGCCTCAACAAAATGGCGTCGTTGAACGCAAGCATCGACATATACTTGAGACAGCACGGGCACTACGTTTCCAAGCCTCTTTGCCAATAAGGTTTTGGGGAGAATGTGTGCTTACGGCAGCATACTTGATCAACAGACTGCCTACCAAAGCCACTGGACGCACGCCTTATGAAATTGTGTTTGGAAAATCAGCTGCGTATGATCATCTCCGCGTATTCGGCTGTTTGGTATATTATAAGGATACACATGCGAGTTTGGGAAAATTTTCAGAACGTGGACGTGCGTGTGTGTTCATGGGCTATGCAGCTAGCCAGAAGGGATATCGGGCTTACGATTTATCTTCTCGGGAAATCATCACTAGCCGAGACGTCGTTTTTCATGAGTCAGTTTTCCCATTTCAGGAGGGATGCATCGATCAATTCCCCTGGGTTCCTGGCTCCGTTTTTGAGCGTCATGTTACAGATGATGAAGATAAACTTCTTGACATTGGACGCCAGCATAACTCCCTGCCTGTTCCTCCTTCGGCTGGGCAATCACCTGTGTCTCCCTCAAATTGCCCGGATCCAACTACTAGGCCTCATGGGCCGCCTAAGCCCACTTCCCCTAGCAAACCTCATGGGCCGACTCAGCCCACTTCCCCTAGCACGCCTCATGGGTCGCCTCATGGCCCTTCCAGTACGCCCGGGCTAGATTCCTCAGCACGGCTCACTTCTCCCACCGCGACGGACAGGTTTCCCACTGAATCGTGCACCTCTCCCATGCAGACGACCTCCGCGACGGATTTACGCTTGCACGAGCCTTCTCCCGACGTGAGGAAAGCCACTTCGCCCAATCCGGAGCCTGTCTCGCTTCGCCGAGGTGATCGTAACAGGATGCCACCTAAGCATCTAGACATTTATTATACGGGAAGTCAAGCTCACTCAGTTCGTTATCCTTTATCTGCACAGCTCACTTATGATCGATTCTCGGCTAATTATTGTGCTTTTCTCGCAGCTGTTGCACATCATCCCGAGCCCCGGTCCTTCTATGAAGCTGTTAAGGATCCTCGTTGGCGTGCTGCCATGTCGGCTGAAGTCTTGGCCCTTGAAGAAAATGGGACGTGGAGCTTGGTTTTTCTCCCTCCCGGCAAGCGCGTCATTGATTGCAAATGGGTGTATAAAGTAAAATTCCATCCGGACGGCACGGTTGAGCGCTATAAGGCGCGTTTAGTCGCTAAGGGTTATACCCAGATAGAGGGTGTTGACTTCCACGATACCTTTGCTCCCGTCGCCAAACTTGTCACTGTTCGTTGTCTTCTTGCAGTGGCCGTTAGCAAAGGATGGTTTATTCATCAGTTGGACGTCAACAATGCCTTTCTTCATGGTGATCTGGATGAAGAGGTATATATGCGCATTCCATAGGGCTTTGCTGCTCCGGGGGAGACTCGTGTTTGCCGGTTGCACAAATCCTTGTACGTGTTACGACAGGCGTCGCGAAATTGGTACCATAAGTTCACCGCGGCACTTCGTGAACTTCAATTTCGTCCTTCCCCGGCAGATCACTCTCTATTTGTCTTTCGACGGGGGAGTACTCATGTTGTGGCCCTTATTTATGTGGACGACGTCATCCTGGCTGGTACTAGCCTTGATTTTATCTCTCATGTCAAGGCTTTTCTGCATCGTCGTTTTAGTATCAAAGATCTTGGTCCACTGCGGTACTTCTTGGGCATCGAGGTTGCTCGGGCTCCTGAAGGCATGATTCTAAGTCAGCGTAAGTATGTATTGGACATTTTGGATGACGCATGTGTGGTGGGTAGTCGTCCCAGTGCGTTCCCAGTAGAGCAGAATCATCATCTCACTCGACCCGCGCCTGCCGATCATCCAAATCCAGCTGCTTATCGACGTTTGGTTGGTCGACTCCTCTACCTCACAGTCACTCGACCAGATATCGCATATGGCGTTAATATACTTAGCCAGTTTGTTCATGCTCCTACGCATGCTCACATGGATGCCGCGCAGAGGATACTACGCTACCTCAAGGGTGCTCCAGGACAAGGTCTTTTCTTCCCTACAAATAATTCACTTGAGCTTACTGGTTATTGTGATGCAGATTGGGGTGGTTGTCAATCCACCCGTAGATCGACGACAGGGTATGTCATTACTCTTGGTGGGGCTCCTATCTCATGGCGCACAAAGAAGCAACAGGTGGTTGCTCGCTCCTCTGCCGAAGCCGAGTATCGTGCCATGGCCAGTACGGTGAGTGAGATCCTCTGGTTACGTTGGCTGCTTCGAGAACTTGGCGCCGCGCAGACTGGCCCCACGACACTCTACTATGATAACCAAGCTGCTCTTCACAATGCTGCAAATCCAGTTTTCCATGAGCGCACGAAACATGTCGAGATGGATTGTTATTTTGTGCGTGAACACGTCCAGTCCGGTGACATCGCTCCCTCCAAGATTAGTTCGCAATGTCAGCTTGCCGACATGTTTACCAAAGGTCTTGGCGCCGAGAGATTCCATTTCCTTCTTTCCAAGCTGCGCGTTCGTGATCTCCACGTCGCAGCTTGCGGGGGAGTAATGGACGTGACCCAAAGTCCACGTCCCGGGAAAAGTCAGCAGCAACAACGCGAGCTACAACCCATCTCGGCTAAAGCCCATGTTGAGAATAATGATAGTGGTTCAATTGTTATAGGAAGCATTACAGTTCCTTGTTGTAAAAGGAATCTTCCTTATTCCTCCCATACCCTAGTTGCACGTACAAGAGGGTATAAATATGATGTAAGGCCACTGGCCGAAACACACAATTGAAATAAGAGAGACTCCGGAGAGTTAAGCTCTCCCGTGGACTAGTCCCGATACTCGGGGATACCACGTAAAATCGTGTGTCGTTCTTATTCCGCAAACCGTTCATACAAATCTATTATACTAAATCACCAATATTCACACTCTTAGATTTTTCCATACCCAATTAGCTAGGTTCCTTTGATGAAGTCTCTCCCTTAGCCTTTAGTTCCCATCAATTCCAGTAAGAATAACGAGGTGGCGTTTCTTAGCATTTAGGTTTATTGATATGATCGATTCAACCTAAAGGAAGAAGCTAGGCATCAAATGTGTGTACTGTTTTACCTCAACAATTGTCGACTTAAGATGGTCCAAAACGAAACCAGACTCAACCATCCCGCCATTACCTGCATGCATGTTTTCATACATCTCTCAGTAAACTACGCGTACAATTGGTGATGCCATTCGAGCTACAATAATATATAAAGAAAATGCCAACTCGTCATAATTAAGTTAATTCTCTCGTTTCTGTCTTAGTTATTAGAAAGATACATATCCCCGAAAAAAAAAAATTATCAGGAAACAAAATTTGCCTTTCATATACATTACATAAAGAACTGAATATCCTCATCAAGAACTCAAACAACAGCTATAACATGCAATTTTGCTAATTGTGAGAAGGGGTGCGCATTCTAGGAAGAGAATAGTCCAGCTGCTGGTGATCCAACCCAGGATGTACTACAGTGCGCCCCTGATTCTTCTTTGCTGGATTTCCACGGCCTAATAATGACTTACCAACATCCTTCGCACCTTCATCTTCCATCGCCATTATTACATGACCACTCTTGTCTTCTGCTTGAACTGGTGAACTCGCCGCCACATTCTCCTTCTGATGATTCTGCATGAAGGGCAAAACACCATCTTAAACTCCAAGTACGTACTTATCTGAACACAGAACAATTAGGCCCGCAGGAGTCAGAATACGAACCTTGTTGAAGACTACTGCGCCGAAATGGCGAGCATCGGTTGCATGGATGGAGAGGCACGACAAGATCAGAAGCGTGGTGATGATGATGCTCGAGAACAACAATCTTGTGGGCTTGAAATACATGACTGGTTTTATGAAGATCAATGGATGGTTTGATCAGGTTGAACCAGATCAAGGAAGAGGAGATGATGAGAACTTCTATAGAGAGAGAGAGAGAGAGAGAGAGAGAGAGAGAGAGAGAGAGCAATTAGCTATGAGGTGGTGGATCTTTATATACTCGTTCTTATTATAAGCTAGGTAGGTAGCTCTAGCTGACTGGCATTCACTATATAAGAAATTGGGAGAGATGTATGTGCACTCGTATCTAGGTGGGGAATTAAAGGAGATCTCAATACAAGGACAATATTTGTGCCTGTAATCGAGGAAACAATTTAGGGATGGAAATTGAACTCATGGATTGAATTTATGGGTATCCGATTTGGTTAAACCGGGTAAAACTCATTGTTAGCGGGTTTTTGAGTCGGATACGCTTTTAAAATTGGTGGGTTGGACTCACTTAGATAAAGTAAGTAGGTTTCCATCCGACCCACACCCATAAAAACAAAATGTCGTCATTTTGAATGTAACCGAAAAAATGTGAAAACTTTTGAATGTTGTATTTATAGGTCATTTTGTATCTAATTGGAATAATATGAAAACTTTTGGATGTTGTATTTATAGGGAAAAAATTTATAACAGTTGTACGTGTTCTAAGAAGTATGTATGATTATGTTCGTGAAATCATGAACACTTGTTAGATTGTGTTAGATTTTCACTTCTAAAATCCAATCGATATTTTACTATTTTTTTAATGAGTGCAACTCGCCTGAATCAGATTTTGTGGGGACTTAAAGAAAGTCTGAACCAAACCAACCCATTTTCATCCCTAGGAAACAAGAATTCTAGCATGCGCGCCTTTAAACAACTTTCTTGAGTTGCGTTTCTGGTTAACTAACGCAGTTGACAATGGGGGGGACACATTGAAATAAACAAACTATATAGTAATTTCAGGAAGCGAAAAGGTAAACACAAGTCAAAAAAGAGATCGAAGAGTCGGTAGAGGAAGCCAAAAAGGAAAAAAAGCTCAGAAACAAACAATGGCTGGCTTGACCGGCCCCATGCACATTCCACGTACGCCAACGTGAAAATGGGTAAAAGGTAAAAAAGAAACAACGTACGAGTTTGTATATATTTGACAGAGGGCGCAGGAGAACGACAGGAAGCCTTGGGATAAGCGCTGATCACCAACAAACCGAACCCAACCTATGTTGTCTGAAATCACCCCTGCAATTTCGGTCCGCCCGCCCGCCGTTGTTCCCGGTGTCCCGGTTACTGCGCATTAATCCACCTTTTTCACCTTTTTAACTCCTAGTTTTTAACCACTGTCTATCACAAACCCAAATGCGTAGAACATGGTAAAAGCCATCATCTTCACCCCATGCATTTGAACCAAATCTGTGGTTAGAAGCGGGAACGATAACCAAATCGACTGGGTGAAACAGATATCTCGACTCTTAAAACACATTTCATCTCGAGCATTGACGAACTTGGACTTTTTGACTCCAAATACGAATGACGATAGGTCGACCAATTCACGAACAATACGAGAAATGAGACCGTCACTTTATCATGAAGTCAGATTGGACACCACAGGTCGAAAACGAACCAGGACAAAGCAGGGCGGAGGGAGATGAAAGGAAAATTCTTGCCTGGTTTCCCCGCCTGCAAATGCAATGATATGTACCCAAAACATTCGAATCAAACAAGCCAGGTCCAAATTACCAAACCAGATGCTCGCATACAAGATTTGAAGACGGCCAATTGCGCGACACATTCATCGACAAGAGAGATAAAAGAAAAACAGGATTCCATTAGACCATATCTTGCAAGTACTATAGAATAACATCAAGAACCTGCCCTACTTCCAACTGGCCATGAAAGGAAAGCTCCGAAGTGACAGCCGAAGCACACCACAAGGGCGCGCAGAGGGCTCGTATCGAAACACCGAGAGACAGTGAGAGGGGCCAGAAAAGGGGCACCTGTGTTGTGTTCCCCCTGATGCTTATTATTGCCTCCCAAATCGTCATTTACTTCGGTCCTTTATGATTTTCTTGCTCCCTATTCAACAGAAGCAATGTAGTAACAGACACAAACTCGCTTCTCTATTGAGATACATAAGACCTATATACACCGCCAGGCATTTGGGTATATGAAGGCAGGCAATTGAAGAGAGAAACCAAAAAGAAGTGATTGTAGTAATCAGAAACTGAAAAGCTTTCTTTTTTTCTCACGTCCTGAGCTCAGCTGAACTCGCAAACCTGTCGCTTTGCCTCGGTAAGAAATACTACAAAAAGGAGGACAGGTTCTTTGCTCACTCTGCACTTAGAAGATTGCTCCGTCCCCAAAATGCCATTGTCGTAAGATCTCACATTTGAAGAAGATTATTCACAGTAACAGCAACCGAGTTTGTTCGCTGTAAGTCCTGCAGAGAAAAGGCACCATACTCATTTACTTGCTTCCGAAGTTGAGATCTATGTTCAAGTATGAGTAGACAAGTTATATGTTGGCTGTATACCTCGAGTACTAACTCATCTGGAATGTGAGGCAAAACTTCACGTACTGTCTCAGCCATAGCAAGCAAGTTAGCCATGTTGTCGTTTACAGGGCGTGAGGGAGTCCTCATATGTAAACCTCCACCACTCACCCCACCCGGGTATCTTCCCGCGGTGGTGGGATCTGGTGGGATGGGTGGCAAACCAGATGCCATACCCTGAGAAGGATGATTCATAGGCCATAGGCTCCAAGCAGCATCTTCGAGGGCAGTCTGGGCATATGTTTCTCCCACTGACGCAAGATGTCTCATCATCATCTGAACTCTCCCCAACCCAGCTGATCTCATAGCATTGTTTGAGGGGCCGGCTCCTCCATCTACACCCTGGTTTGGCCATTGAGGCAACCAACTTGAATCAAGCCCTGCACTTCTGCTGAGACCAACACATAAAAGAAGAACGTGAATAAGCTTAGAGGCACGGAGATGATCCAAAGCCTCTTAGGACCAACTCAAAAGAGGGAGACTATGACCCGAACCTCCAAGAACTTCCCTCCATAGGGTTCTGAGTTTGGTTAGGGAATGGTCCAGCAGGAAAGTTGTTCCCCGCATTGTTTGGTCGATCAAGGCGCTCACTTATCTCGCGAGCGAGCTGCTCATCGCTTAACACTTCTCTATTACTTGGACTTGGTTCATTTTCAGCTCGACCCAGAAACAGCGGTTTTCTACAAGTAGGACAGGAGTACATGTCATTTAATCCTTGATCCAACCTGGAAGCACAGAAAACTGCACAGTAAGCATTCAAGACTTTCTCAATGCAAGAGAAAGGCCAAGATTTAGACAACTCCAATAACCTACCAAGATCGCAAGCATGGAAGATGAAAAAGGTGACTGCAGTGAAGCCTTTTTGCTTTTGCCATGGGTTCCTGTGCCATTTTATCCAATTTGTTAAACCTTCAGAGCACAGAATGATCTACAGTAGCATGCATCATTGATTGAATAACAGCTCAAGCATACCCTGCAAATGGCACATTCATCATCGTATGCCCGTAGCTCCTCTGATGTAGCATCAGGAAGTGCTGCATGAAGAGCGCCTAGAGCCATTCTCAGTTTGGTGAATCCTTTTACACGCTTTATGATAGCACTTAACAAGGCCTGCAACAAACCATTCATGACTAATTAACAAATTTGAAAGAACAACCAAGTTACTAATCATTGATGTGAAGGAAGTTGGATAAGTTTACCCTTATATTTAGGAACAAGACTGCATCAACAAGGTGAAATGACACCCCATGGAGCCACCATATGTGCACATAATGGCCAAGTGCCATTAACAGTGTAGCCATATCCAGGGCAAACCCCAGATTTCGAGTAAGAGTGCCTTTCCACTCCCACAATGAACCTGCAGTGAGCTTCTCACCCAGTCAAAACAGCAGAATCGGCAATCCAATACAAACGATTTTAAATACAGCTACATGTACGAAAATCAAGGAAATCAACATTTCCAGGAATCCTAGGACCTTCTGATCGCACCTCTTGGAAAAAAAGAATAGTCTTTCTTAATACAAAGGATTTCATTTTGCAAATATAAATTAATTTTCATAGGGAAGTAATAGGACTGCAAACGACCATATAAAATCAAATTCATTTAAGAAATGTTCTCCAAGTTTACTCGGTGTTTTAGCTCGAGTATTACACCTGAAACTGAAAAGTGCAGCCATAGCAAGCAAATTAAAGATTGTCACAGGGAGCATACGCCAATCAGCCAGTGGCAGTTCAGATCAATCAGAATACACATCAATTCGTGGATGGCAACTAGCACAGGTATACCTGCTCTGAGGGTATCAAAGAACTTGAATCTTTGACAGTTAGCACTGTCACCAGCAGAATGGTGGAGCCAAATGTCAAGCAATTGAAATCCGTGGACTAACATAGCCTGGAGAAAGGAGATAACCACGTCAATCCAGATAAAAAATTCCATATGAATTAAAAGGTGAGACAGTAACACTAGATAGATAAATGAGCACTTTCCAGAACATTACTTGCAATGTCTCAAAAGCAATGCTGAGGGGTTCAAAAAACAGCAACAGAAGCATGGGCGAACCCAATGTTTTATAAATCCCGAAGCATATCCTTATCCTGTTACCACCAAAAGAAGGTTGTAAACAGAAAACTCAGTCCAGAAGCAAAAGGAAGACAAAAACTTGAGAACTCACGGACAGGCAGGGTTCAGTTGGCAAACTAGTAAAAATTGTCCAGCCTTATGAAGTCGGAGAAAAGAAATATCATTTCCAGCTTAAAAATAATTCACCATTAACCCATTATTATGAATGCCAGATATCACACTAAACAGAGTTCTGTTGGTCAAAGAAAGTCAACAGAAGCAAAATCACGCTAGCTATGAAATGACAACTCATGAAGTTCTATGCATGAATTAAAACCAGAAAATAAAATATTAAAACAATAAAAGAGAAAGGGTTTGTTCTGCAGCTCAGCAATTCCTAACTTTCCTAGTATTAGCACAGCCTCCATGACGAAATAAGTGTAAGCATGTTAGCATCGAGACAACGAGCTAGAAAGCTTCACTTCAGTGGCCTTTCTTTGTATAAAGGGGGCATTACCAGAAAAGGTCAACAGAGAGTACAAACAACAATGCTGAATACACGCGAAAGTACGTCCATGGCTGAGCTGAAGGAGAGGCATTCAACCGTTCGAGCCGATCTCTAGCCAAAGCTTGAAACATCTGCAACCATAAAAAAAAGTAACAAAGCTTTCAATTACACAACGACACTTGGATGATGAACCTAAAACAGCAGTCTGAACTAAAATATTTTTCTTTTACCTTCAAAGAACACATAATTGTCAGCCAGATCAACCACAACCCAACTTGAAATACAGTGGGAGGAATAACCAGAGGTAGAAAGGTTCCCTGATAATAATTCATCAAAAAGGTACACAAGAACAGAAATTTCAACATTATGAACACCATATAAAGAAAGATCAAATTAGTCTACCATAATATTTAGCTCTCAAATTGACCAAAATTTGCCTTCTTCCGTTTCTAAAAATAAACATGAGCTAAATATCATAAGATAAACAGTTATCTATTTCTCAAGCACGCGGAAAAAGAAGAGAGCGGTGGAAGGCTTATTCTTGATTTGTGACACAATGTGAAATACTTGCCAGTTAGGAGTACTGTATTGACTCAGAGTGCAGCACATCCATCATGGTAAAAGATTACCAAATAATAACCATTAATTAAGCTTACCTTGTAAATAACATAATTGACAAGACGTTCTACAAGTTTCCGAGTTTCAGAAGGGTACAAGTCCGCAAAGAAGATACTCTGCAATGCAAAATCAAAACCACAACATATGTTCAATCATCATGGAGAAGGAAAGAGTTGCATTCCCCTTTAACCCAACCAGAGTCATCAAGTTCATCCAGCAACTTTCAAAAGCTATTATATTTAGCATGACAATGAGGCTAGGTGATTGAGGTCATAGTATTCATATTAAGGCCACATGGATTGGATTGGAGCACATGGATATTCAAGTAAGAATAAGAAAAAAGGCTTAAAATGTCATATATAAACAAATTTAAGTGCTTTCAAAAGGTAATCAGAGATCATATAAGAATCACATCTGAAGTTTGTAAATGCCACAAAGAAACTATAATTGAGAGGTTGTGGAACTCTCACCATAACTCATTCCACTGTACAAGATTAAATTGGGATCAACTGTGTTATGCGCAGAGACCACTCGGAAGAAAACTATAAACTTCATCTTAAAGATCACATATCGTTTGCTCATTTAGTAGAATAAAAATGCAGCAACATAGCACCACCAACACAAACATTATTTCATGTTCCATGCATGCTTTAGCCACTTCTACATGCCCGATTCAATCACAAATAAGGGATGAACAAGTCTGCCTCTCTCAAGCCAATCATACATTACTAAACCACTTTAATAGCTGTGTGCTGGGTTGGCAAATAAAAGCTTACCTTAAGGCAAAGGTTGAGCAGTATAAACACGTTGAACAGAAAATTTGCCAGCAATGCAGTGGTGGCATAAGACCCCAATAGCAACCCCAGGGCATCGTTGGCATTCTCTAGATTAACAGAATCCTCACCAATTAACCCATTGGCTCGTAGTTTATCCAACGAAAACTCTGCCTGATACTGGAGACCTACAAAGCTCAAAGCAGTCGACACTGCTGAAATCGCTAAATAGCTTACACCCATCAGGCAATCTGAACAGTCTCCCTACTGGAACACCTCAATTCATCAACTTTCGTGTAAACACTTCATCAGCAGGGGTTCCTCGCTTCAACCTTACAATGATGGTGGACCAGATCGTACAAAATATTCAGCTCAAGAGACAACCAAGAAACGCCAATTCTCCTAGAGAAAGAAATCCAAAAAAGACTCCTGCATGAAACACACGAGTAATGAGCATCGATTAGTAGCAGCCACCATCATCCAGGGCCCATCAAGAGTTCATTCACGATAACTAGGAGCTGGAAACAGAATGATGAAGCACGAAAAAAGCCGGCGATACTTGTGCCATGACCCGATTGAGATGGAAATTTACTCTGCCAATCCAAACTAGATCAATAATCGCCGTGATTAGCACCCAGAATTCAGTTCCAAAGTCAAACTCGCATTGATTTTCACAGCTCGATCAATCTCTCTCCCACACAAGAATCTATAACCGAATTGCAGATGAAATCTACCACGGCAACTCGGTCAAGAAACACGAACCCTAAATCGCAATTCAGCGTAGAAAACCGGACAACGAAACCGAACTAAGCGTACCCGATACACCCAGGAGAAGGAGAAAAAAAAACAGAAATAATCAATCACACCGCAGTTTGAATCTTCCGTTCTTTTCTTTCTTCCCTGGAAACAAACAACCCGCCGGGAAAATCATTCAACGCAGAGACACGAATGGGATAGGGGAACGAGAATAACCTTAATTATTCCCCGCGAAAGAGACGGAAGACGATGAAGGAAGAAGATGGCGATGACGGAAAGGACATGGCGTCGGTGCCGAATTCAGAGAGAGAAAAGTAAAGAAGAGAATTAAAAAAAAAAAATTAGATAAAGCCGCCCCCGAATTTTTTTATTTTTTTTACAGAGGGGGACGGAAATCAATTTTTGCGGGAAATCGAAATAAATAAATAATTGAAAACGAGACGTGGGAACAAAGGGGGAAAAAGGAAAAACAAACAGTTATTGTTTCCCGGGAAGACTGCTGAGTGGGCCGGACCCGGAAGTAAGAGGCCCGGCTGGAACCGGTCCATCTTCTCCGTTGGATTAAGCCTTTTCTTTTGAACGGTCGGGTTCTCGTGAATTATCGGGAGTAAGCTTGGCGGCTGAGTTTTGTGAGATTGTAGATTCGTAGTTGCTGGTTGAAATTTGTAATAGGAAGTTGGAGTAGCCGCCCGTCCCCAAGACCCTAATACAAGACCTAAGCCTCGAAAATGGCATGAATGCAGCCGGAAGTGGTGGAGTGAGCGGAGGAACGCGATTGGATCTCATCATTCGATTGCAAGCGGAAGGTCGATCTACAGAGGAAGCATTAGCGAGGAAACGGGTCAAGACGAAGAAGTGTGTTGAAGCAGGAGAAGAGGGAAAGACATTTCGGGAGGTTTTCTAGTCGACTAGGTAAGAGAAGCTAAACTTTTGAAAAGGGTCTCTTCCATTACCAGTAAAATCCCCTATCAGCTTGTTGCAGTCGTTTTCCTAGGGTTTCCCTATCCTCCTGTTTTGAAGCATGAACCTTTGTTTTGTTCATATCGCGGGCGAGCAAAGTGGGTAACTGTTCAAAGCTTCTGGTTTCCTCACAGGTTAGCGCTAGTGCACAGAGCTTTGGGGGGAACCCAGATATGGATACGGGGGGAAATTCTCTCCCATCTGGGTCTGATGCAGTCAAGAGAAAGGTTTGCTATTTCTACGACCCAGAGGTGGGAAATTACTACTATGGTCAAGGTCACCCCATGAAGCCCCATCGTATTCGCATGACTCATGCTCTTCTCGCCCACTATGGATTGCTTCAGCATATGCAAGTCCTCAAGCCCTTTCCTGCCCGCGATAGGGATCTCTGTCGCTTCCATGCCGATGATTATGTATCTTTCCTAAAGAGCATTACCCCTGAAACACAACAAGATCAGCTTCGTCAACTTAAGAGATTCAATGTTGGGGAAGATTGCCCAGTCTTTGATGGTCTCTTTTCATTTTGCCAAACCTACGCCGGTGGATCTGTTGGTGGGGCTGTCAAGTTGAACCATGGCCTGTGTGACATTGCTGTCAATTGGGCGGGTGGCCTTCATCATGCCAAGAAGTGCGAGGCTTCTGGTTTCTGCTATGTCAACGATATTGTCCTTGCTATCTTGGAGCTTCTTAAAACGCATGAGGTTAGTCTCTATATGTCTCTTTTGAATACTCTTTTGAGAAATTATCTTCATTTGTTGGTGTTCAATTGCTGTTTGCTTGGGGTATAAGCTGATCTTTGGAACAACTTTCAGTCTTAGGAATGCTGTTGTATTATTACACCATATAGATTTCAAATAGCATTTATTCATCTCCAGCTCATATAGTTCTAGTTATGCTTGTGTCATCTTCGAGGCTGTTGATCTGGTCACCACCATTCAGTTATCTTAAGACTTAAGAGGCATGTGAGAATAAGTAAACATGTGTGGACTTCACAATGAAATATCAGCTACTTGATATTGCTACACATGTTAGAAGTAAGCAACACAGCTTCCGAGCTACTGATGATATGGTCAAAGTACAAAACTTTTCTAGATCCACATACATGTACCTTATTCTTCAAGTATAGAGGATAGTTATAAGCACGCAATTTGAGTTCATAATAGCAACAGTGAATCTAGAGTTTCACCTACAGATGTTATTTGAGGTTCTAATGATCAACCAGTAGATATCAGATACCAATTTAAAGCTATCCTGGGATCATCATTTTTTTAAGTGTTAATTTCATTTGTTATTAGATAGTTCAATTTCAAGTGATGCAAATTTGTATAATGAGAATATATGACTACTGTTCTTTATCTGTGTCAGAGTCCTGAAACTCTATCCTATTGTTGTGGAAGAACCAAATCAATATTTCTTTTTGGTACTGGTCGATCCTCACTAGGTACAATTTCATTCTCTTGAAAGAGAAACCAAACATATCTAATTAGATTTCAACCAAATAAGGAACTAGCTTCTTACCACACAACTTAGTTACTTGAAAGTCTGGGATCCTTAGTGTTGGGTTTAAGTGTATTGATCCCAACATAGTCTATTAAGCATATTATCATGTTCAGCCCAGCTCATAAACTCTTCTTCTTTTTCTTGATATGCTTGCAGCGAGTTCTCTATGTGGACATTGACATCCATCATGGTGATGGGGTAGAGGAGGCCTTTTACACAACCGATAGGGTCATGACTGTTTCATTTCACAAGTTTGGGGATTATTTTCCTGGTACAGGAGACATACGTGACATTGGATACGGGAAAGGAAAATACTATTCGCTTAATGTGCCATTAGATGATGGAATTGATGATGAGAGCTATCATTTTTTGTTTAAACCCTTAATTGGAAAAGTAATGGAAGTCTTTAAGCCTGGTGCTGTGGTTCTCCAATGTGGGGCAGACTCGTTATCTGGGGATCGTCTAGGGTGCTTTAATCTCTCCATTAAGGGCCACGCGGAGTGTGTTAAATTTATGAGATCCTTCAATGTCCCATTGTTGCTGCTTGGTGGAGGTGGCTATACAATTAGGAATGTTGCACGATGCTGGTGCTATGAGGTACTGCTTCTCTTCTTCTTGAACGTTATTTTTGTGTAACTCTTTTCTCCTCCATTGCCATGCTGTGAACATCAAATATTTCTCCCATTTTGACCAGTGATTTCTTCTTTGTAAGTTAGACAGGGGTTGCACTTGGGATCGAAGTTGATGACAAAATGCCACAGCACGAGTATTTTGAGTACTTTGGGCCAGACTACACTCTTCACGTTGCTCCTAGTAACATGGAGAATAAAAATTCTCGTCAGTTACTTGAGGAGATAAAGTGTAGACTTCTTGATTATCTCACAAAGCTTCAACATGCCCCAAGTGTTCAGTTTCAGGAGAGACCCCCTGATACTGAGATCCCAGAAGTATGTACATTTCCTCTAGTTGTAATCTTCTGGTTGATGTTTCATATATCTTTTCTTTTGTTGTTGCATGGCATTGTCTTAACTTTGGTGTTTGAAGCTATTCTGCAATCCTGTATATGAGCATGCATCACAGACGACTCTTCTGAATGTGTGTACCAGTTTGTCTTTCCTTTCATCTTATTCACATGTTCGTCCAGATTCTGGAATGACGGATAAGAATGATCATATGTTGTTAATTTGATTGGGATCTTAAGAAGATATTTTAATTTGAAGAGCGAAATATGATATATTTATAATATATTACTTGTAACCTGAGGTACTAAAATGAACGTGTTGTAGTTCCTATGTAACTAATACAAAGCTCAAAGCTGATTCGAAAGCCTCCTTATTGGGTGCATGTTGGTGTCAATGAAGTATGATGTTTTCGTTTCTGACATCATTAATACAGCTGAACACCATGTGACTATCAGTTGTATGTAAATTGGACAACCAATGCTCAGTGTGAACTTTTTCATTTACCTAAACAATTATAAGAAATTTTGTATTATTTGCATTTCACTTAAATATTATCTAATTTAAAGAGTAGATTGACTGTTCTGTGTAGTTTGGTTCATTTTTGTTTGAACCTGTAGTTGCTAAAATGTGTCTTTTAAATTGTTTGGGAATAATCAGGCAGATGAAGATCAGGATGATGGTGATGAGAGATGGGAAGATTTCAACATGGATGTTGATGATGATCGGTATATTCTTTTGCACCAAGTTCCAATTATTGCCTCCCACATATTTGTCGCTAATGATTGTTCACTTTTTTGTATTTGTAAATCTCTGCAGCAAGCTTCTGTCCGGCAGGGTTAAGAGAGAAGCAGTTGAAGCTGAGCCAAAGGAGTTGGTATGTTCTGTTATATACTTGCAGTAATTCCCACCAGCACAAGTTTCCAATTGTTTGCCAGCATTCATTCGACTCTCAACTGTCTAACTGTATATCTGCTCAACCTGGTTTGTCCTCATTTTATGTAGTTGATACTGGATCCTAACCATGTCTTTGACACTGAGACATTGAGTAGGTTTTCTTGTGACTACGATATATCCTAATGTTTCTATGGTATTGATGACCTTAACTCTTTAAACCCAAACAAGTGATGATTCCAATGATAATTCTCGAACATTTTAGCATTAAGTGAGCTTTTGGAATTATATGTAATTAGGAAGTAGGGATCTGAAATTTTAGCATTAAGTTTTTTTTAAAGAAATTAAGAAGTTAATAGTGTTCTCCAGCTATAACATTGTAGTTTAGGAAGTAGGGATCTGAAATTTGAATTGCAGGTCCATGGACACATAATTGATGCCACATATTGGATAAGACTTCTAAATCGTCTATTGTTGCACTTCCTTGTTAATTAGTAGCACTAACGAAGCATTAAAAATTCAAGGTTAGTGGGGATTATCTTTGCACATTCTCTGACAGTGAGTTCCATCTTGGTTTGTCCAGGAGGGCCAGAGAGGAGCTGCTGAGCATGCTAGAGGTTCAGAGGCAATGGCCGATGAAACTGCAAGTGCGAAGGTATAATATGTTTCAACTTAAGCACAACTAGCATACACAAAACATGTCAAGGTCTGCTTGATGTGGCATTGTTTGTGAGAAGATATGCTTGTCATCCCATCTTATGTTTTGATTGACCCTTGGGATTGCAGCCTCTAAATACAGTTCCGATGCAAATGGACGAAGTGAACGTGAAAGTTGAGCAGGAGAACGTGAAGCCATCAGATCAACCTTACCCCAAACCCTAAACATGCCAAGAACACACCAGTTTCCATCTAGCATGTGTGTCAGGATAGATGAATACGATTTTGGCACAAAAGTTCTTTGTTATTTCAAGTACTTGAAAGGACTGGAATATGCTTGTCTGACTAACTAGCATATATGTTTCTGTATAGATGAATATGACTTCGGCCTACAGAAGCCAACCATCAAGTGCTTGTAACCCCAGGGACCTAAAGGAACTTGAATTTGTGCTTGCCTCCAACTTGCCCCTTTATTCTTCAAAGTAAAAAATGTTGGGCTTTCAATCATGTCGCAGAGTGGTTCTCTGTGCCTGCGTAGTGCATAGCTATATTCCTCTAGAAACTTGTGCAGGTTACGGAAGTAAAATTCTGGGCTTTCCTGTATTTATGTTATCATGCAATACATCACATGGTTTTCTCTGGATATACATTGCATGCATACAAAATTTGCAGAGGAGCTATACGAGCAAACTTTACAATAGACTGATTACAAAACCAGGTCAAATCATTACATTCTGTATCAAACTGTTTGGAACAACTGGGACCTGATTAAAACCATGTATGTCCATAACTTGCTGCGCCGAAAGGAGTTCCATGCAGGGATTAACGGTCCAAGGCATTTCACAGGTTTGGGCACATGATGAACATAAGTCCGATATAGGGAACTCTTGAAATGAATGTAAAACGACCAGTCAAGATGGTACTACAAAAATAGGAAGAGCCTTTCCTTGCCTCTTCCTCCTGTTCTCTCTTTTTCTCTCCGATATGCCCTACTCCTGTTCACCGGAGGTAATCCACCTTTACCGGTCATCTACAGCTGCCTTCAATGGAGCCTTCAAAGAGCCTCACCTGAGGACCTTCCATTCCCCCCCCCCCCCCCCCCCCCCCCCCATCAATCAAATCATTTACCTCACCTGGCAACCACACCAAGTGCAGAAGAAAGATATCCAAGGCATTAATGGCTGGATCTATAGTTATGAGGAGGCGATTTATCCAACTACCAGTAAAAGCAACAAGGGGAAGGTCAGAGGGGTATTAACCCAGCAGAAGAAACTAATTCCGCCGCCCAAACCTCCAGAATCTCAGCCAATCAACAACAATAGAGGGAGGGGAAAGGGCGCAGAGTCAACAGGTGGTTATAAAGAGGGGAAGTCAGATGACAAGAAAGGTATTGAAGGCGTGCAACACCAAATCCATTTTGCAGGCGAAACCTACAAGAAAAGGGAGGAACAACCACCTGATACAGATCTATGGAAGGGCCATACAACAATCATTTACATTAATTCCGCACCTACTCGGCCAAGACTGCCCAGGAGAAGGAATAAATGCAAAGAGGGTACACACAAGTTACAATCTAATCTGCAGCAACCCAGAGACCTCAAAGCAGACTATGAAGGAATAAATGTCTCGCCAGGCAGAATACACAAATGGCAATTAAGAGGTAACCTGACAGGGGAAAACAGGGAAGGGCATAGCAAGGGCGGCGGTGGTAGAGTAATAACATTCAATGCAGAGAGGAGGAGGAGAGTCAGCGAACAGGAGGGATTCTTGGCCTATAAAAAGGATGAAGTTGAAGGGAGTTTGCATCCAGCCTACCACCACCACAACGAAGATCAGATAGCTCCCAAAAACCACCAAAAAAATAGCCGAGAAAGATTTGGGAACAACGAAATGGAGAGCCACCAAACATATGTGAGGGGAGAAAGAAGCCATCTGGTACTAAACGTGAGGCCAACAATTGTGGGTGCAAGGGGAAGCGGAATGGCCATGCTCTTGGGCAAATGGGTTACAGACTCGAGCATAAACCTCCACAAGGCCAAAAATGCAGCCATCAGCAAATAGAGAGCCTATGGGGAAGTGCAAACCACCAAAGAGGCAGAGAACCTATTTGTCTACACCTTCCAATCCCAACAACAACGTGATGCAGTATGGGATGCCAGGCCATGGAACCTCAGCAACACCTTGGTAGCACTAAAGAAATGGGATGGAGAACAGAAGGCCGAAGCAGAAGACATCAAGACAATAACCCTGTGGGTGCAAATACACGACCTTCCTCAGTCACTTAAAGATGAAGAAGCTATCAAAGCTCTGGCAGAATATATCTTCCCCCAGTTCCATTGCATCGACCAGTCAAACTTCGACTTCAGAGGGTGGCTGAAATTCATCAGAGCGAAGGTGGAAGTTCAGGTGCATCAACCCATACCGATCGGCTTTGAATACCCGTTGGGTGAGAAGTCCATATGGGTGAGTTTCAAATATGAAAGAATCATGGACTTGTGCTACTTCTGCGGGAGACTAGGGCATTTGATCCATAACTGCCTGGAGAGGGAGGACCACCGTAGAAGAGGACTCAGCATCGACCCATCGGAGGTATATACTGCAGCGCTGAAAGCCGGCCATGATTCCCCGGCGAATACGCCACCGACATCCTTTAGGGAGAAGATGACAAGAAATCAAAGACCCACCCTAACCGGACACCCCACAGGCCTCATCCACGGACCCCGAGGAGGAACTACACTTTTGCAGTATGCAGGTCAGACGGGACATAGCTCCTCTTCGAGCCCACCTGGTTTCACGGCAATTACTCTGCCACTGCCAGGAATTGGTACGGAGTGGGTCCAGAGGCTTCGACTAACATTTCCTTTGACTCATTGGCTTTTGTTCCAGGTGAAAACAGGAAAACTTACCAGAGGAGAAAGTATTTTACGAGAAGAAGGAGTTTGGCAGCGGAAGGGAATCAGTCCGGAGAAGGCGAGTCCAACTCTCCGAGGGCAGCGGTGGCAAGCCTTGAGCCGCCAAGCCAAGGATGAGGATTCTGAGCTGGAACTGTAGGGGATTCGGGCGATCCCTTACACGAAGTTACTGTGGCAGACTGTGCCGCCAGTATAGCCCGTCAGTTCTCTTCCTAATGGAAACCAGGAAGGATGAACCCTTCATGGAGGAAAAAAGGAGAGCACTGAAGTTTGATTATGGCAAGTATGTTAACCCAGCAGATGAAGGTAGTGGACTGGCTCTTTGGTGGAAGGAGGACGTGAATGTCCGCATTTTGGATGCTTGTAGATTTTTTTTGGATGTGTGTATTAGTAGGAAAGGGGAAGACTTCTTCTGTACTTTTGTCCATGCTCCCACCACGGCGGTGGAGAGAAGGGCTCTCTGGGATCGACTTACGATCATTAGAGAAGAACAAGATGTCAGTTGGCTTATTGTAGGAGACTTGAATGTTGCCCTGTTCCCGTTTGAAAAACATGGGAGATGCCCCCTGCGGAATGAAAATGTCGACCCCTTGAAGTATTTCATCTCGCAGAATGCACTTTTCGATCTGGGATTCTCTGGACCAGTCTTTACATGGTCCAATAATCATCAGGGAGATGACCTAATTCGAGAAAGATTGGATAGAGGGCTATGCTCTGCTCAATGGAGACTTAAGTACGAAACAGCCACGGTGTATCATGAAGATTTTGTGAACTCGGATCATTGTCCGATCCGGATCGATTTGCACCCCAAACAACAAGATAGGGACACCCCTTTTCGGTTTGATAAAAGATGGAAAGAAAATGGGGAGTGCACCTAGATCATTGATAACCTGTGGAAGAAAGGAGATAAGGTCAATGAGACCCTCGCTAATTGCCGAGAAGAAATCCAGAGATGGGCAAGGTTAGAAAGAGCGAAGAAAATTAAACGAGAAAAGGAAATCAGGAGAAGGCTACAGGATTTAAATGGGCCAACGAGAAATCTTGCAGAGATTGAGGAAGAGAAAAGTTTACTGCAAGAGTTGGAGTCAGCTTGGAAACTTGAAGAGGAATTTTGGGCTCAGAGATCCAAAAACTTCTGGCTCCAGGAAGGTGATCAGAACACAGGGTTTTTTCATGCTAGCACAATCAAACGAAGAAACAGGAACCGCATCGACAAGCTGAAAGATGAGTTGGGGAACTGGCTGACTCTTGACCATAACCTTGAGGGACACGTTACCAACTTCTATTCCAATCTTTTCTCAAGCAGAAATGGAACCTTTAACTCTTCCCTTATTAATGGCTTCCTATCGCTGGTTACGAGGGAAAACAACAGTCTCTTGAATGCTAGTATTGAGAAGGCGGAGATTAGAAGAGCAGTTTTTCAGTTGGGTGCAAACAAAGCACCAGGCCCGGATGGCTTCCCGGGCCATTTCTTCCGACAGTATTGGCATATTGTGGGGGACAAGCTTTGCGAGGAAATTAGCAACTTCTTCAACAGCAGTGTCATGCCACCGAACTGGAATGACACGTACATCACATTAATACCTAAAGTGGATGCTCCTGAAACTATAGGTCAGTTCAGACCTATCAGCTGCTGTAACTTACGTTACAAGGTAATCACGAAGATCATGGCCAATAGATTGAAGCCGCTCTTGCCAATTTTGGTGAATGAGCTTCAATCAGCTTTTACTGGGGGGAGACAGATTCAAGATAATATTATTATCGTTCATGAGGTCCTAAACCATTTCAAGAAACACAAGGAAGGCAATAACAAATACATGATGATGAAGCTTGACATGAGGAAAGCCTATGACCTGGTGGAATGGGGATTCCTTATTGAGCTGCTGAAAGCCTATGGTTTTGATGACAAATGGTGTGGATGGGTCAGATCCTGTATTGACTCAGTGAAGTTCAAAATTCTGTTCAATGGAAGACCCTCGGAGGAGTTTACCCCAACTAGGGGTATCCGACAAGGGGATCCCCTCTCTCCCCTCCTTTTTATACTGATGTCCAATGCCCTCTCATTTCTGATTGAAAAATCAGTGCAGAGTGGGGAGATTAGGGGTTTGAAGCTGAATAGATCCTGCCCTACATTGTCACATTGCCTTTTTGCCGACGACACTGTCATCTTTGGAGAGGCCTCAACTGCGGAAGCAGAGAAGATCCTGGGAATCCTTCATGCATATGGATCAATAACTGGACAGGAGGTGAATAGAGAGAAGTCCTCCTTCTTTTTCAGTCGTAATGTTCAAGAGGATGAAAAAGGAAGAATCA